CTTGATCACGGCTTTTTCTGTTATTCCTTTGAGGTCCTCCTGAAGTTTTCCCTGAAACTGCTCGATCCTGGAGGAAGGCGATGTGCTCTTGTTCAACAGAGATAGCTGCTGCAACCAGGGCATTGTAGACTCGATGCCTTAAAGCTACCACTGATTTCCGGATCACACCCTTAAGACCTTTCTCAAACTTTAGGCACTTCATGCGCTCCGATTCAATCAATGAGGGAGCAAAACGGGACAGTTCATTGAACCTAGCCTCGTATTCTCTCACTGTCATATCCCCTTGCTGTAGGCCCATGAATTCTATGGCCTTTTCATTTTGATAACTTTGAGGAAAGAATTGCTCATTAAAGAGCGCTTCGAATTGTTCCCAAGTCATCCCCTCTACATTATGTATTCGCCGGATATGCTTCCACCACGCACATGCAGGACCTTCAAACTTAAAAGCTGCGAACTCCACCTAATACTCATCCGGTACTCCCATGGTACTTAAATGCTTAGACACCGATTCGAACCAATACTCAGCTTCCTGGGGTCTACCCGCGCTAGTGAATGCAGGAATTGAACTACGCCTGTACTCACGGAAGTAGTTCTATTTTTTGTCCTCCGCGGGACGTTCATTTTGGGCTCTAGTAGCCATCCCCTGGAAGACGGCGTACATAGCTTCCATGAATTACTCATTCGGCATCGCCGGTGGGTTAGGGTTTCTACAGCGCGACGGCATTCTTTTATCTGAAAAGAAAGCTAGACAGTTTTAGTGGTTTCCTGATGTCATTCATGTATGCATAATTCCAAATCCTAAGATTCTAAACCAAGGGCTCTGATACCAAGTCTTGTCACGCCCCCAAACCGGGGTTAGTGACGTGGAGGCTTGTTTAGAAATTTAAACCTGTTTAAGAGAATGATTAGCATATAATGTTGTAAACATTATAATATTTTTCTTTTTTTTTTCAAATTCAAAACATCCAGGTATTTCCAAACAAGCCCCTGCATTCCAGAGAAATTTAATTTCAAGAACGGTGATGGAATTTCCAACCAAACCAATTTAAAACCACGTCCCTGGTATCATGTTAGGAATTCCCACAAGTGTTTAGCATACATGAATATAAACAAGAGTAAATGTGACATCAACCACAATCTAGTAATATTTAAGTTTACAATCCATAATCTTTTATACATGCCTTGAGATAAGGGATTAGAGGAAATACAACTCTTCGCTTTCCTGAAATAAGTCCACGTCGCCGGTAATAGCTACCTACTTTGCACTACTTCTGGCGTCGCCTGGAGGGGTTTAATACATTTGAAAACAGAAAAAGGTGGGCGAAAGGCCTAGTAGGACATAATTTTATAAAGCATTTAAAATAAAGGTACTCACGGTCCGAAGATATATACCCGGAACCAATCATCCTTTTTTTGAAAAAAGGAAATACTCACATAATAGAATATGTCTGTATAATGAAAGTGTGCAGCTCATCATACCACTAAACAAGAAGCGGTAAAAATGTCCGTCTAAT